TGGCATTCGCTTGCACTGTTTGGTAACTTGTACTTTTATTTCTACTGTACCATTGGTTCATTGTCGACTTCGACCTTTTTTCTTCTCTTTCTTTGACATACTTGTCTTCCTTTCCGGCCTTCACACTTCGTGTTGGCCACTCCTGTTGGGACTGCAAAGGGATAGCTCGCGTGGAAAGTGTGCTGGCACATTTATTCAGCTGCATTCGCCTCGTAACAGCGATTAGTTTAAAGTCTAAACCTTAGCTATAGCATACGCTTCTCTGAAGCCAAAAACAATACAATCCCATTGATTAATCACTACTATCTCTTACACTGTGAAGCTTTGCGACTATCATGTGATGACGACCACTACATCTTGATGAACTTGTCATTTCTCATCCATAGACTCTTGGTACAGAAGGCTGAAGTCTAATTACATCTCCACGCTCAATGGCCTAAACCACGGCGATGGGTATATCCGAGCCATTGGTTCCGCTCTTGATCTTTGATAAGGCTCACCATCAAAACAAAAGAAAACGGCTTACACGGGCACATTAAAAAGTATTGGGACGCCTCATATTACGAAAACGCTAATCTCATATTCGGTACCATCTACCGTTGCTTTTGCACGCAAGATACTGTTTTCTGGCAGCCGCCGAATCCCGCTTTTACTTTAAGCACATCTTATATTTGTAAGGCTATATGCTTTTGACACAAGTCATTCTAAATTACTAGAGTAGTGCCCCAGTAGCGCCTAGTGAAAAACAGCGAGCCCCATGAAGCCATTGATCATGCGATTTGGGTAAACGAAAAGACTATACGCTACTGATACTAGTAGTAGCAAATACTCTAACCCACGACACACCCTCGCCCAATACTACCGCGCCTTTAAGGCTGATATTGCCTCGTGGCCTGCACGACTCACGCGAACTAGCTTTCCTTAGACTCCCCATAATGTTTCCTCTCGCCTTCCTGATAAACAGTTCCTGCAAACTCCAAGTAATTTCGCGCAAATGTTACTGTGCCAATAGCGCGTACAGAAACGAAATAAATTGCACACTTACACGATTTGCAACCATTGGTATTGTTTCCTAGTAGCCTTGTAGATGAATTGTTTGTAAACGGTGCATACGTGCAATTGGATTAGATAGACATGGGTGGTTTTTGGCGTTTACAAACAACGCAATTAAATCATGGAAACGTAATTTATGCAACCCGCTGTCCAACTGCGCAGCTGTAGTAGAGTTTAGGCCGCTTTATAGGTTGTCTATTTGTTTCGTGTGTGGCGTTGAAATTCTCTAGTCATGGCTCACCATGCAGCGTAACTGGGATGGTTTGCGCGCAAAACTCTATTTTCACCTACATACCTGGTTCCGTAACTCCAGTCCCACTTCCTTCCTCCAAAGCCTAGGACCATGATCGATTAAATCCTGGCGATGCCATGTGTTGCGCGCAAGCAAGCAAGCATTCTCCGCATGGCGGTTTGATATAGCGCTGTATTTGCATCCTCTGAAAATGATGCGCGGCTGGGTTTCTTTCTGCGTGCGGGTTGGGACTTGGCGTACGATCGCGGTGTGTGTTTGCGCGCGCGCGCGACTCATGATTTATGCGACGGATTTTGACGTGCTGTCACTGTCACTTGCTACAGCCTAGGTACCTAGCTGTCAAACTATCTGCCATTATTACGCAGCCACCCGCCGTCAGCGGATGGGTGTGGCGGCGTGTCTTCAGTGGCAGGTTGCATCGGCGGAGGCCTCACGAGTGTGGTGTGGGCGATTCATGGCGCCGCTGATGATGGTGGAGCTGTTGTTTCAGTGGTGATGCATGACGGGTTCGTGGTAATAGTCTGTGATCCTTATGCCATGTGGTTGGCGACGGTTGAGGCGTCTGGGGAAGCGTTGAGATTTGCATGGCGAGTTTGGGTGCTGGTAAGTGTAGTCTGCTGCAGAGTCGGAGTGGCGGGCCGTTGGGGTGATAGAATCTGGGACGTGAAACGGGTGACGCTTAGAGGAGATGGATGCGATAGGATTACTATAGGTGATGGGTACATATCTAAATCGTTTCATCGCTGGGTTGATATCTTGTAAAGCTCGGGTGGTCAAGAGAAGGAAGGTCTAGGTATTGAATCGTGTCTTATGTCATTATATCTCTATTGAGTACGAGATATTCTTCCAATTGGTCATTATGGATCTCTCCTCTTGTTGTCATATCTTCTCTTCGTAAAACGGCAGAGCGTTCTCTGTATATTAAGCCGGCATGAAACTATACTCAGTGAATCTAAAATGGGAAAGCAAACAGCTTCGCCTTGAAAGTTCATATTCAAGGCCGACCATTTTGTCATCGAATTGGTCGGTATTATGTCAATATCCCAGCCTTTCTCTTGATGCTCGACGACAGGAACGTTGGCAACAATCTTTGCACTAATTCATTCTGATCATGGCAGATGCTATTTGTTACCTAGGTACAGTCGATAATGTCACATGTATGTATTGCGATTAACTCAGAGGATGAGAAAGAAGTGACATGCGGTAAGTGAACGCGCCCATCTGAAGTTATCCCTTTGAGCTTTTATATCAGCACTTGATTAGGCATAGGTACGTCTCATGTTCTCCCATGTCCTTTGATCAAGTGCCTTCGCACAGCAATAATCATCCATATTTCACTTCAAATTTACGCCATTAACCGTTCAGTGCCAATGGACAAGCTGTTCACAGTATGTCAAAGTGCCAGACTCTTGTGACTGACTTTGTTATATGATCAACGTGATAACGCTGAGTGGCCTCGTATCTTCACTCGCTGAACAAGGCTGCTGCCCAGAATCTTTACGCCCGACCAGTGAAATCAAATATTTCAAATGTCATCAACAAATATGCTCTGCCTACGAAAACTTCTTTCCTCAACCTTCAGTGATCATTCTGCATGTCTTTAAACCACAAATCCTCCGACACAGACAGCCAAAGATCATCACAATCAAAGACTCCAGCATACCACATAGATTTGAGAGCTAAAAATCAATTCACTCGATTTCAACGAACGAGGTACATCCCACAACAACCTTCAAGCTAGACATTTCAGGACACAAACACTAAATTCTGGCTGCCTTCAATATTACCATTTCGCTCACAGGGACCAAGTAGGAATAGAATTTCAAACCCGGTCCTCGAGTAACCATGCCATTTACATTTCACTCGCCCGCCAGTCAACCGATTCGCTGTCCTTTGGGGCGTGAAATTCACGAGATACTGCACGAGTAAGTTGACGGACGCCCTGAAGCACATAAGAACAGCTTTGCTCATTTCAACAGGGAGTATTATGCAGGCGAAAATCTTTCTTTTAGCATACAATGTGCAGAAGGAGAAGTCGTGAAATGTCACAAGGTAGTCGCCCAGGCAGGTAGCAAAGTCATGCGCGAGTATCTACAAAGCTGTCAGGTGAGTAATTATAACTTGTGCACGAGAAGTATGCTGATTCTGAGTTAGTCTGATAGCTATGATCAGCCAGACTCGGAAAAGTATCCAGCCTTGTACGTAAAGGAGATCGTCCGATTCTGGTACACGGGATTCTACGCCTACAGCGACATGGAGGCGAACCAAACTTTCAGTTTGCCATGGCCATTGCAGCTCCAAAGACTCAAGCATCATTTTGCGGTAAGCCCTGGCCTTTGTATATTATCCTTGTGATGACTCTACTAATATTCAAACCGAGTAGATTGGCAAGTGCGCTTCGGCACTAGGGGTAGAAAAGCTACCTGGATTCGCCATAGGCTTCTTTGAACAAGATCTCTCAACAATGTCCTTCGACATGGACTTGACGAGCGAAATCGCAAAGTGGCTGGTCAGTCAGGGTGAGCCAGAACAACAATTTGTCTGGGTCTTCCTGGTCTGGTGGGCGAAGGCGGTCCACGATGCATACCCAATATTGACGAACTATGAGCATTTGTGGAACATCACTGTCGAATTTATCAAGACGTATCAATGTTTGGGATTTCAATTCCAGGGGAAAATGCTATTTGAGTTGATGGTGCAGTACGAAAAACATTTCAAGGCAAACCTGGAATGTCGATACTGCAATTCTGATACTCCTATTGACAAACTCAAGCCGACTGATATCTCAACCCGCAACTTGGTTATCTGCAATTGTGAGCGGAAGTGCGAGCTGTTGTTGGGTGTCAATTGTCCTTCTCCACCACCAAGTGCCTGATCTCCTATCAGGCTGAGCGATTGGTCTTTGAATGTGGTACTCCTGTTTTGCTTCGATGGTGTCTTATTTTCCTTCAATACATCATAGCAGGCTAGCAAGCTATCCAATCTTATGATTTTGTCCGATATTTCGCTTCCCTAGTCGTGCTCTGTGACTTTGACATAGATACGAAAAAAGTACTGTCATTCGAATGTGGTAAAATATGGCCTGTTTGTATAATGTCCACCAACCAAATGGTCTGAGAGGCTTGGTTCTACTGGTAATGTGATCGTACGTTTTAACAAGTTAAATCGTACATATTTTGGTGAATTCATTGTATTCTCGCTGAACAACTCAACAGTGTTTATATCTATACTGACGGACGTCTATTACTATTAGGATCAGCATTTCTAACTTACAACACACACGATAAATATATCAATCAGAGTCGTATCGTTTATATACAAATCAGCAAGGTCTCGTCCCCATAGTTCAGAAGAGAACACAAATCGTGATATAAATCAACTGCTAGTTGCTGGGTCCGCCAAGTTGCGCCGCCGTACCTCACTTTTATACGTATGGCTTTACTAGGCCACCAATCTGTCTTGCCAGTAAGACTGGGAATCCTCCTAACAAAAAAGATAATATCATTAGCCGTGTTCTGAAACAGCCAAACTGGTGACATCAAAACGATCTCGCCAGCCTGCGTAAAAATAATGGAGCTTGAAGGTTTCAGCATTGTACTTGTAATCTTCATATAGCGCTCCCTTACTATGCAGGTAGTCCAGCGGCAGAATTTGAACAGCACATATGATAAAAAAAATCGTATCACGTTGAAGGGGCTTTTCCGGGATTTGAACCCGGGACCTCACACAATTCTGTTCAACAGAGGGGGCAATAACCCGAAGCATGAATCATACCACTAGACTCAAAGGGAGTTAGAAAAAGTGGTTGAAATTGAAAGTAATTTACTTACCCAAAAAGCCGGCAAGTTAGCTCGAAAATGCTTCATTTTTGTATATAACCCACATGATAAATGTAAATTTTCGCCACACTTTTCTCGCACTCAATTCACACATTATCTTTCCACATGCACTTTTTTTACTTTCATGTTACACAAAAGTCAAAATTCTCCCTTCTTGCTTGATTTGAATCAACAATAGAGATATGATGCTGTTGAACTCACTTGCTACATGTTGACTGTTGACACACCCGCCTTGGCCAGGAGCCCTTCTCGAAGGGGTGATAAACGCAAGCAAGGACCGCTGTAAATGTACGACTTAGTCACTGATGATAACAAGAGGGAATCAGTCTGACTCTGGAGTCGTTCTTGGTTCACTGAGATGTTTTCATGTTATGGTTAAGTACAAGATGTATGTCTATAATATTGTCCACACATTCGCATTCATCCATCAGGAGGCAAACCGGAAGTCGAGCCTCTTGTTACCCTTATCAGTAGTAGTATTCAGGTAATGCAATCTCTGCTCCTTGCTCATACTGTTCCATCGTTTATCACGAACATTATTTCGCCACTCGTAGTAGGCTTTGGATGCAACAAAGAGGCAAAGATTCCAGGCGACTATACCCAGAAGAACCTTGTTACCTTTGTAGTAATAAGGCTTGTCATCAGTACGGTATATCTGGGAGCTGATGATATTGGATGTCTGCACCGTCATGTTGTATAATGACGACGCCACTGTGCGGGTGCGTACTGTGCCGGCGTTGCGCGAAGCAAGTGCAACAAGCACAGCGTGAGCATAAGGATAACCAATGATGAGCGTACTAATCACCCATTTTGCCCAGTTGGAGCCTGGGAACGTTTTGGGTAAGACTTCGAGGGCGATAAGCAGTGGTAGAACCCATATTTGCGAAATGATGCCGATGAGCATACGCTGATTAACCTTTTCAGAGAACCAAGTCCAAAAAAGTAGCTGGATAATGAATAGAACGTAAGCAGGAATGGTTAGGAGGTTGGTTTCAAAGGTGCTGAAACCGAGAGCCTTGCATGTGAGCGTAATGTAAGTCGTCTCTGGTGTCATTGGGATGGTCCAAGTAAGTCCAAGTAGATATATGGGCCCTGGAGTTTGTTAGTGTGAGGTCAAAAGAAGTCCAAGAAACGTTGCTGCGTTCATGTGATGAGGCTAAGAAATGTTCTTAGAAAGGGGAAGCTTACACATATCGAAATCAGTGAACGAATCCCACAAAGCACGGAAATTCAGGCCTTGTCGATTATGCATCGTTGCTTTGCCAGGATCGTCCTTCAGAATGCGAGTCACAAGGATGTATTCCTCTCGTTCTGTGAACCAGCCATGCTCGGGTCGGAGGGCTCCTTTGATGCCGTGTCGACTCGTTTGAGTCGGTGACGCTGGAAGGTACAGCCAGGTCAAGATGCCAATAAGTGCCGTTATAGAACCCTCGATAGCAAACACATATCTCCAACCAGCTTTTAGAGCCGTGTCTGGTCCGCGAATGTGTAAAAGTCCAAAGGCCAGAAAAGCGCCAATGATCGATGTTCCTTGATACGCCGTCCAGAACCAAGATAGACGCTTGGGTAATTCAGCGTTTTTGTAGTAGTATGACAGATATAGAATGACATCCGGAATGAAGCCGCCTTCCATCAAGCCGAGTAAAAAGCGGGTAATGTAAAACGTTGTGCGGCCAGTGATGCGAGCTTGACTGGCAGCAACAATACTCCATGCTAACATCTGGATAGGTATCCAGACATCCGGACCAACTTTCTTGCTAATAAGCTGAGATGGTAGTTCTGCAAATAAAAATGCGCAATAGAAGATAGTCATTCCATTGTTGTAGTCGTTTGTCGTCATCTTCAAGTCCGCTGCATAGAGTCAGTATATATGAACAATGGTCGAGGCAGTACTTACTCAGTAAAGTGTCGGACAGAGCTTGAGTGATGTTACCGCGATCAAGCTGGAGTGCAAAGAACATTATACAAGCTGGCAAAGCAATTCGCCAATCAAGCTTCAAAACTGTTAGTGTAAGATCCCTCGCGAATGCGAAAGCACTTACAGTTCGAACCAGTTTCCTTTCCTCTTCGTCAGTCCAAGTCATGGAAGGATCGAATCGATGAGCGCCTTCATAACCTTCAGTTGGTTTGTAGATATCTTTCGCTTCTTCAGTCTCATAGAGACCGTGCGAGTCTTCACTGGCAGTAAGACTTTCTGAGCTGGTCGTTGATTTTGACGTTTTTGGATATCCAGAGTCTACAGAAACAAATGCCTGATCTTTCCCTCCCAGCTTCAACCAAGCGCGCCTCTTCACTGGTTGATTGTCAACGGCTGGGAACACCTTCTCGTCCACATCCTTGATGTCCGCAGAATGCGATCCCTTGGACATGGTGATAACAATTGGATCAACAATAACACAATAGTGACTTGTTTTCAAGGCAGTATTGAGGGAGATATCCCCCTACATATATGGCTACCAGGTTTTACGAAGTTCCCCAAAAGAACATGCATCGCTAAGGCTCGGGAATACTTTCGAAGCGTACTATTGGTCCCGGACTTGGGGTTGACGCGTGCTCTCTGCAAAATCTGGAATCATTGCGAATCCGAAGGCTTTAATGTCGTGATATAAAATCAGATCATCGCCAAGGGCAATGATGATCAAGCATTGGCTCTTGTCAAGTTGGGGGAACATGCTCGCAGCTTCAACGCTTCTTGATGCAACCAAGTAGGCGGGTCGTCTGCCAGAAAGGCGGCCGAATAAGAGCTAGGACACATCTTTAGGCCAGTATCGTGCGAGGCGGCTTATTTCTCATAACGAGGCTGTATGAGGTGACAAGTCGTCAAGTTGTCGCTTGGAGAAGGAGGTTAGCTTGGTTTGTTCCAGACACTGAACCAGTCAAAGGCCGATATTCACGATTTCAAGATAAAAAAAACTGGAGATTGTCAGCGATTCGGTTGATAAATAGCTTTATTATTGTCAAACGGTGCAGTATTTGCGTGGGTGAAATCAACATAATAATGTACTCATCCAGGGAATTGATTGCGTGCTTGAGCCGTCAGGACTCCGAATTGTTTTACTTCTCGGCTCGACTCGACAGCATTCAACGCTGAAGTATTCTACTGTTAGCTGAATTACATATAACTGAGCCTGATGGAGATAGATATCAGATCCAATAGACATGTAACTTCCAGATATGGGTTGATGTGGCTCTCATCTTGAAAGTCATGCCGTTAACCATAATGTCGGGAATATGAGAACAATGCCTGGCATTTTGCATGACAGTGTCGATTTCAATGAATGCGCCTCTAACACGTGCGAGACGATTATGCTCTTGCCGCGAACTGACAAAGCAACTGGCAAAACAGCTGGCATACTTCCGTTAATGGCGATAGCTGGCACCAGCTGTTCTGACATGATGGTTCTTCATGTTCGATCAAAGTTGGTCAACCATTAAGCTATAAGCGCCCTATATGGCATATAAAGCTTTCCATGCCAACGCGCAGTAGGAGGTAAGTAGCATTGTTGACGGGAGTAAGCCGGTTATTTCGATCACCTCTGAACTGGTTACCTTGGATGCGATCATGTGGCTGATTGAGTTGAATCGAAGGCTCGGGAAGCCTCCAGGTATACAGAAGCAGGATTCCAGTCCCATGGTCTCGGAAAACACGATATACCAAACTAGAACGACGCTGCTCAAAGTTTATGAGGGCCGTGCCGCAGTCTCGACTTGCCAGATGACAGCGAAGCATTTGTAGAAACCAACAGCTTGGGAGCCGGTCCGCATAGCTTAATAGCTTTAAGCTCATAACTTCGAGTACAGTAAAGTGGTTGTTGAGATCTCGTCATGGCCTGATTGGCGAAGCTTGACTGTTGTGTTGGCAATTCATCGGCTGTAGACAGTGTAGACCAAGTAGTACCTCGCAGATTCTCAGCGCTTTCAAGATTCTCTACATTGCATCTGAAGATCATAGGCAAACTGTAATGCTTCAAAGCTAATGGAACCAGCAGTGTGGTCGAGAATGATGATGGAGCTTTCCAATGCATCTCGATTCAAATCAGAATCTGCGCGGGAGGTCAATTCAAGTAAGAGTGGCGCAGCATTATTATGCACCGCCACGTTTGCCTCTGCCTTAACGTCGAATGATTTCAACCTGTAAATCTTCGTCATCCTAGGACGGGCATACCGAACCACATGGAACCAGGGACATGTTTGCATTAAGCAGGATCTCTGTATTTAATTTTATCACGGAGAAGCCTTCAAGACACTGACAACACACAGTGGCCTTGTGATACTCCTCAGTTAGCCTCAAGGACAACTGCAGGACTGATGGGCAAACAAGAGCTAGGATAATTGATGCAGCGCGGCTCAGATCTGACGGTTCTAACAACATGTCATGGCAGCTCCTAGCAACTTGAAAGTCATCGCACTCATATCAGGTGGGAAAGACTCCCTCTTCTCCATCCTCCACTGCCTAGCAAATGGACATGAAGTTGTAGCTTTAGGTAACCTATATCCCGCGCAAGTCGTGCAAGATGAAAAAGGCCACCAATTCGAAAATGAGCTCGACACAGATAGCTATATGTACCAAACCGTCGGTCATTCTGTCATCAAACACTACGAAGACGCTTTAGGTATTGCACTCTATCGTAGAGCACTATCAGGCTCTGCCGTCGACAAATCGCTCAACTACAGTCCCAATGGCACGGCTAAAAAAGGAGACGAGGCCGAAGATTTGTTTCTTCTGCTACAGGATATCCAGCAGAAACATCCGGATGCAAATGCTGTAAGCACTGGGGCTATTCTATCAACATATCAACGGATGCGAGTCGAGTCTGTAGCTATACGGCTAAAGCTTACTCCACTGTCTTTCCTGTGGCAATATCCGTACCTATCGCCCCATCGAGATGCTAGTCTGCTTGAAGATATGCATACGGTTGCTCAAGATGCACGCATCATCAAGGTAGCTTC